TAGGCCCGAAACATCAGCCTCTCTGCTCCTATGATGCTGCTTGGCCTGCTGTGTTCATCCAGCTCTACAGCTTGTTGTCTCGGATTCTCCAGCATCTGCAGTTCCTACTATCTCAGAATCACAATCATTTGAGGGGGAATTGCAACATGGTGTTGTTACAATAGGAAGATTGTTTAAGTGCCCAACAGTCCCCAGCAGAGGGGGAATCATGCTGTGACTGTTTGCGTGTATGTATGTATGTATGTATGTGTATGTGTGAGAGAGAGTCTGAGAGTGTGTGTCTATCTGTCTGTGTGTAATGTTTACAATTGCCAGCAGAGGGGGCATCATGCTGTGTGTGTGACGGTGTGTGTGTGTGCGCCTGTGTGTAATGTTTACAATTGCCAGCAGAGGGGGATCAAGCTGCGACTGTCTGTGTGCAACAGAGTGATATTCAAAGAGTCCAGAGAGGGAGATTACTATTGGTGACTTGTGTGTACATTCATCTTTAACACAACTTGTGCCAAGCAGCTACTTCCCAGCACTGACAAATTATCGGTGAAAAAGTGGGGCAGCCTTGTAATATCCCTTGAAATATTCCTATGAACGAAGTACTTTTGTTTAATAATCTTTTGTTCAATTCCATCCACACCTCTGTTCAATTTTGAAATAAACATGTTCATTTGTGTAAAATTGTAACTAAAGTGTTCAACTGTATAATAGATTATCATCATTGGCATAAACCTCAAGCTAATTCAGCTTGTTGACTTAAAAACCAAAAGAACTGTGGATGCTGTGAATCAGGAACAAAGACAGAAGTTGCTGGAAAAGCTCAGCAGGTCTGGCAGCATCTGTGAAGAAAAAGTCAGAGTTAACGTTTCGGGTCCCAGTTCTGAGGAAGGGTCACTGGACCCGAAACGTTAACTCTGATTTTTTTTCTTCACAGATGCCGTCAGACCTATGAGCTTTTCCAGTAACTTCTGCTTCTGTTGGTGACTTTTCTTGTTTGTTTTAGTTTCATTAAATTTTTGCAAAAAATGTGTTCATTTGTCTTTCTTCTGTCTGTCTCTCTCTTCTCGGTTTTGTCTCTTTTTCTTTCTCTGTCTCTTTTTTTTCTGAAACCTCAATCCCAGACTTCCACCGCTATCTCAGATTTCCAATTACTGATCAAACTTCAGGTCACTGAAGCTGTTAGCTCTTTGTGTAGACTGGGTGATTGGTTACTTCCGGATGAACGCTTGGGACATTTTATTGTGTTAAGGGCACTATGTGATTGCAAACTGTATTTGTTGAGTGAGTGGTGGTTTCAAGAGGCACCTGAGAGCTTGTGGGGCACTGGTAGTGACCCTCCCTCGGAGCCAGGAGGTCTGGGTTCAAGTCCCACCAGCTCCAGAGCTGTATAATAACGTCTCTGCACAGGTTGATTAGAAAATAAGTGTACAAGAGGAATTGGAGGGCAATGTAAACGGTCAAATGATCATTGGCAGTAGGGGGGATATTGTCCTCGTGTTGGACACCATCTCTCCTGTTCAAAAGAAACTTTAAGCAGATGGCAGAAGGAAAACAGACACGAGTAAAGGCGTGGTTAAAACTAAGTTTATTATAGATCTGCTTCTGGAAACATATAACCCCAATGTAAGGAACCATTTAGTTAACAGCAGAGACGCGTAACAAAATTAACAGCAAAATTAATTCAGTGGTCAATAGGAGAGATGGTGTCAGCTTCTGCGTGGGCACGTTCAAGGAAGGTCAACAGGTTTTGCATGGCAGGGCAACGTTGAATGGTTTGAAGGTCCTGAAGGAGTGCGTCATGATTTCCGATGGCCATCAGCTTCTCCTGGGGGCAGACAACAGACAAGCATTCATGGTGACAGCACAGAGCACCCCCAACATGGGGAAAGACCCTGCCCCAGTGTATCACAGTCAGGTGTGTGCACATGTTTGTGTGCGCGTGTAAGAATGCTTGTGTATGAGTGTATGTGTACATATGTAAGCGTGTGTTGCAACTGTGTGTGTATACATGTGTATACGCGTATACACATCTGTGTGTGCATATACGTGTGTGCGTGTATGTGTGCGCGCGCGCGCAGGTATGTCAGTGTCGAAGTGTAATCAGCTCGAGTAGCCTTCAATTGGGAATGAGCTCCTACCAGAAGTGGAGGAACATTCCTGACTGTGACCCCTGCTAGCTTAAACATTCACTCCTGACGCACAGCGGTAGAGGTGAGTACCACCATCCAAACCTCGCTAGACAGAACCTTCCAAATCTCCACTACCTCGAAGGATAAGGGTAGCAGATACATGGGAACGTCACCCAGGCTCCCCTCCAAGCCACTCACCAGTCTGGGCTTTTTTTTCATTCATGGGATAAATAATAAATATTAATCAATCAATCACAGGCCAACATTTATTGCCCCATCCCCGGTTGCCCTTGAGGTGAAGGTGAGCTGCCTTCTTGAACCACCGCAGTTCATGTGCTGCAGTTTGACCCACAATGGCCCTTAGGGAAGGAAATCTGGAATTCTGACCCAGCAACACTAAACGAACAGCAATTTATTTCCAACTTCAGACAGTGTGCAACTTGGCGGGGGGGCTGCTTGCAAGGGGTGGTGTTCCCATTTATCTGCTGCCCTGGTCCTTCTAGATGGAAGTGGTCGTGGGTTTGGAAGATGCTGCCTGAGGATCTTTGGTGAATCTCTGCAGTGCATCTTGTCGATGGCACACACTGCTATGACTGAGCTTCGGTGGGGGAGGGAGTGGGATGTTTGTGGATGTGGTGCCAATCAAGCAGGGAGTTGCTTTGTCCTGGATGGTGTCGAGCTTCTTGAGTGTTGTGGGGCTGCACTCATCCAGGGGCAAGTGGGGAGTATTCCATCACCCTCCTGCCTTGTGCCTTGTCAATGGCGGACAGACTTTGAGGAGTCCAGAGGTGAGTTATACTGAAATTCCTTGCTCCTGACCTGCTGTTGTAGCCACACATTATCCTGACAACTACATCACCGTCACTGGGTCAAAATCCTGGAACTCCCTTCCAGCACTGTAGGTGTGACTGCAGCCGTTCAAGAGGCCATCACCTTCTCAAGGTCAATTCAAGATGGGCAAAACTGATCATACCAACAGCACTCATCCCAAAAAGAAGAAGAAAAGTGGCATTTGGACAGAGGTGACCTGGAATACACTAAATGTGTGGCCTCTGGATGTGCAACTCAAATTGGTAGTGATGCCACTCTATCAGGGGCAAGTGGAGAGACTGGACAAGCTACATTGGTCTTCTTTAGAGCAGAGAAAATCAGGAAGGGTTGGTCCAGAATGGTCCTAATGATAAGGGAACAGCGGTCAACTGGACAGACTGGAGAAAACGGAATTATTCCACTTCAGGTAAAGAAGCAGAGGTAACACGAAGAAAGATATATTTTTTCCCATTGAGTTGTTCTGATCTGGAAAGGTTGCCTGTAGAAGGCAGTGGATTCAATTGTAACTGCTAGTTCTACATGTCTATATTTATGGACTAAGTAAAAGCCTGGAAGATTTTGAACAATTAACCAGGGCATTGTCAAGGAATTAAATCAACAGTTAACATGGGCTGTAAGCCAGCTGGTGATCACACAAAGATTTTGGAAAAACAGCCAAGGAAAGCTTTTAGGGAGGTAAGGAATGGGTTTTATTGCCCTTAACTGCTGGAACACCTGAAATAGGCTATGAGGTCCTGCGCTAATATTTGCCCAGCAACCCTTTCGGGGATTGATTTTTGTTTAAAACACCTAGGGAGTCAGAAGGAAGAAAGACCTCCAAAACTGGAAGTCTCTTTGTCCTGTTTTTGGTTGAATTAATTGGGAATCTGAAAACACTTCCACATCTCGGTGTTTTGACAACCTTGTGAACCTTTGAAAAGATGAGGTGTGACCACTTTCCAAAGACTTGGATCTATACCGATTTCTATTTAAGACAAAGTTTGGAAGATCTTCCACTAGTTGACAGCTCTTAGCAATTCGACGCCATCAACAAGAATCTTAGTGCTCCCGGGCCTGGCCAGGCTAGCTATAAACAGGTCCAGGCAGCGGGTTGTGGAGGGATCGGTCATCTCTGTCGACTGCCTACACATCTTCTGTGGTTACCTTCGAGCCTGGGTGCGCTTTGGTGAGGGAGCACACAGTGTACATCGGTGCTCTCACTGCCTTTAGAGAGAAGTGGGCCCTGCAGGGGCCCCTCCAACCCCATTTTAATGTACTCCCCTCCTTCTCTTCCTACCCTATGCCCATCACCTTTTTTTTGATGTCAGCATTGTTCTTAACAGGTTTTGCTTGTTAATATGCAGCTGGCCACACGTGTGTTTCCCTGGTGGCGGAAAAAAGTATGTATAATAAATTGTATTCATAACTGTGTCTTTTTTTTCTGTCTCACTAAATATAAAAATAAATTTAAAACGAAATAAAAAGAACAAAAGAAACAAAAAGAAAAAAAAGAGAAAAAACAAAAACAAAACAGTGGACTATGTGAATTCATCAAACTCTATCTTTGTTTTCATACCATTTGCCAATAAGGCTGCTATCTTTCTTTTGTCCATTTTAAATGTAGTTTCTGCAGAGTCTTTGTCTTTTGTGTTGTGTGGATATGTTTGTGTTAAGACTAAAAGGGAGCAGAGTTCTAACTCTGGATTATACTTCAGATGTCAATCCGCTTAACCATTTGTCTTTTTATAATGTTTTACAATAAATGGATTATTTTTGAGTTAATTAAAGGAACTTGGTGGAAGCCCTTTTCTTAATTCTGGATAGCATCATAAAAGGGAAACAATTGGCCATTTTGAGGATGGAATCAAAACATTTGGACAAACAGTGCAACTCATAGAGTAGGGTGACCAGGGAATAGTTTAAGGACAAAGGGGTAAACGTTTCAGGACTGAGATGAGGAGAAATGTCCTCACCCAGAGGGTTCTGAGCCTGTGGAATTCTCTGTCACAGAAAGTGGCGAAGGCCAAAACATTGTGAGTTTTCAAGGAGGTAGATATAGCTCTTGCAGCTAAAAGGATCAGGGGTTATGGGAGGGAGAGATTAGAGTATTGAGCACAATGATCAGCCATGATCTTATTGAATGACAGTGCAGACTCAAGGGGTTGAATGGCCTACTCTTGCTCCTATCACAACAAAAAGAGAATCCAGTCTCCACAGCTCACCCCAGTGCACCAGCCAAAGGGCGAGTCTGGACATCTAGTCTGTCTAGACTATCACTATTTAGAAAGTAGGATGTAGCCAAGAGCTCCATCCCTTTCAAGTGAAAAGTAGAGCAACTCACATCTGCCTGCATTGACATCCATTCATTTAAGCCATTAATCGCTTATGGCTCTGTTCACAGCTGCTCCAATCTGCTTATCCCCCTACGTGTTATTTTCCCATTCTCAGCACTGGTTCTGGCCACTTGCGTCATCTCCCTTGGTCCCTTTTGGCCACACTACGGGCACTTACCTGAAGAGTGGTCTGCTGGAAACTGGACTCAGGGAGCTCTGGGAGGTTTAGAACCCCAACACCAACATTCTGGGGAGAGAGGGAAAAGGTGTCAGTGTCCTGCCTCAAGGAGAGAAGTGGTTCATTCCAGCTTGTCTCTGGAGTAACAAAAAAAGATTGACGTTGACACAGTGCCTTTCCCGACCTCTGGACGACCCAAACTGACTTGCAGTCAGTCGGGTTGTAATGCAGGAAATACAAAAGTCAATCTGCACACAGCAAACTCTGGCACACAGAAGCGTGAAAAGGACTGGATCATCTATTTTTTTCTTTAAAATTACCCTGAATATTGGCCGTGACACTAGGGGCATCTCCCCAACACTTCTTCAGAATACTAACAGTGGGATCATCCCTGTCCTTCCAACAAGAACATAGGAGGTATGGTTAGTAAGTTTGCAGGTGACACCAAAACGGAGGTGTAGTGGACCGTGAAGAAGGTTACCTCAGAGTACAAGGGGACCTTGATCAGACGAGCCAATGGGCTGAGGAGTGGCAGATGGAGTTTAATTTAGATAAATGTGAGGTCTTACATTTTTGAAAGGCAAATCAGGGCAGGATGTATACACTTAATGGTAAGGTCCTGGGGACGACTGCTGAACAAAGAAACCTTGGGGTGCAGTTTGATAGTTCCTTGAAAGTGGTGTCCCAAGTAGACAGGATAGTAAAGAAGGCGTTTGGTATGCTTGCCTTTTTCGGTTAGTGCATTGAGTATAAGAGTTGGGAGGGTCATGTTGAGACTGTACAGGACACTGGTTAGGCCACTTTTGGAATACCGTGTGCAATTCTGGTCTCCCTGCTATAGGAAGGATATTGTGAGGCTTGAAAGGGTTCAGAAAAGATTGAGAAGGATGTTGCCAGGGTTGGAGGTTTGAGCTGCAGGGAGAGGCCGAATAGGCTGGGAGACCAGGAGGCTGTGCACAGTTCTCTGGAGTGTGAGGATAGGTTTTCTGCCATGAGGAATGGTTCAGTAGTTGGGGCCTGTATTCATTGGAGTTCAGGAGAATGAAGGTGACCTTCCTGAAAGAGAACATTTGAAACAGCTTGACAGTGCTTCCCAACAACGGGGAGTCTAGAACTGGGCGAAGCTTCAGAATAAGGAGTCTTAAGTTTAAAACAGAGATGGGGAGGAATTTCTTCTCTCAGAGGGCCATAAACCTGGGGACACCTTTTCCACAGGCAGTAGTAGGGATTGGAACTCTGAATATATCCAGGACTGAGCTAGATTTTTGATTAACTGCAATCCCAAGAGCTTTTTTTTTAGTGATAAACAAAAGTGATGTGGAGGCAGGTGACAATCAGATCAGAATGGCAGAGCGGGCTTTGGAGGCTACTCCTGTTCTTTTGTTACATTTGTATACTGTTGTTTAGTGAACCTCCAGCAAACTGAAAAATGCCTCAATGCTATGCAGTGAGTCACACTTGAAACCTTTCAATCACGTCTCAGACGGTGGGGAGAATGGAGAAACTGGGATTATTCTCCCATGAGCAGACAAGCCAATAAGGAGATTTAATCGAGATATTTAAAGTCATGAAAAATGATGAGGGCATCACTGGCTGGGCAGCATTTATTGCCCATCCCTAATTGCCCAGAGGGCAGTTAAGAGTCAACCGCATTGCTGTGGGTCTCGAGTCACATGTAGGCCAGACCAGGTAAGGATGGCAGTTTCCTTCCCTAAAGGGCATTAATGAACCAGATGGGTTTTTTCCGACAATCAACAATGGATTCACGGTCATCATTAGATCCTTAATCCCAGATATTTACTGAATTCAAATTCCACCATCTGCAATGGCAGGATTCAAACCCAGGTCCCCAGAATGTTATCTAGGTCTCTGTCCAGCGATAATACCACTAGGCCATCGCCTCCCCTATACAAGTAAGGAAGGAGAAACAGTTTGCAGTGGCAGGAGGATCAGGAATGACAGAACACAGGTTTAACATGCAACAAAGAACTTTGGATACTGGAGACCAGACCTGCTGAGCCTCGACAGATCAACGGTAACTGGCACAAGAACCCAAGGAGACACACGAGGAAGAGATCATGATAAGTTACAACGGAAAAAGTGCAAGGTTCAGCGAAAGTTATCAACAGGGATTTGAAACAAACGGCGTCTGGGGGCTAGTGCCGGAGAACCAGAGAGAATGGCTAATGTTACATTCTGGTTTGAAAACGGTTGTAAAAAGGTTGGCTCAGCAATTATGGAGCAGTCAGCTTAACATTGGTGATTGGAATCTTCTGGAAGCAATAATTCTGAATAGGATTAGTATTCACATGGAAAAGTTAATTTGGAATATTCATCATGGATTTGTTAAAGGAAAATCATCTCTAACTAACTGCCTGGAGTTTTGGAAATGGTTGTGAGAGGAAGGATATTATTAAGAGGTTCAGAAAAGATTTACCAGGATGTTGCCAGGAATGGAGGGTTTGAATTATAAGGAGGCTGGATAAACTGGGACTTTTTTCACTGGAGCGTAGGGGGTTGAGGGGTAACCTTATAGAGGTTTAAAAGATTGTGAGGGGCATTGATAACATGAATTGCAAAGGTATTTTCCCTAGGGTGGAAGAGTTCAAAACTTGGGGGAGGTTATTTTTAAGGTGAGAGGAAAAAGATTATAAAAGGACATGAGGGACAACCCTTTTACACAGAGTGGTTAGTATGTGGAGTGAACTTCCAGAGGAAGTGGTAGTTGCAGACACAGTTACAACATTTAAAAGATATTTGAATAAGTACATGAATAGGAGGGATTGGGCCAAATGCAGGCAGGTGGGACTAGTTTGGTTTGGGAACATAGTCAACATAAGACTGGTTGGGCTGAAGTGTGTGCTTCTGTGCTGTTTGATTCTATCACTCTATGAGGTAGCAGAGAAGGTTGATGAGGGTAATGCTGTTGATGTGCTGTGTATGGATGTCCAGAAGGTATTCGATACAATGCCACACTGCAGACCCGTGAGGAAAGGTTTAGGTCGAGGGGTAAAAGGGATAGTAACAAAGTGGATACAAAATTGACTGAGGGATGGGAAACAGAGAGGAATGGTTAATGGGTATTTTTCAGGCTGGAGGAAGGTTTATAGTGGACAAAAACAGAAGTTGCTGGAAAAGCTCAGCAGGTCTGGCAGCCTCTGACTTTTTCTTCCCAGATGCTGCCAGACCTGCTGAGCTTTTCCAGCAACTTCTGTTTTTGTTCCTGATTTACAGCACCCGCAGTTCTTTCGGTTTTTATTTAAGTTTATAGTGGAGTTCCCCAGGGGTTGATATTGAAATCCTAACATTTTCTGACATATAACGATCTGGATCTTGGTGTGCAGGGAGAAGTTTCGAAGTCTGTGATTTGTACAAGACTTGGGAGCATTGTAAACTCTGAGGAGGCAATGTTGTCAACTCTTAACTCTTGTCTCATCAATTAAGGATGGGCAATAAATGCTGGTCTAACCAGATCCCATGAATGAATTAAATAAAAAGGACATAGCCAGTTGGCAGAGTGGGTGGGCAAGTAACAGCTGAAGTACAGTGTGGAGCAGTGTGAGGTGATCTATTTCAGACGAACATGGAGAGACAGTACAAAATGAAGGGTATAATTCTAAAGAAACAAAAACAGAAGTTGCTGGGAAAGCTCAGCAGGTCTGGCAACATCTGTGAAGGAAAAAATCAGAGTTAATGTTTCAGGTCCGGTGACCCTTCCCCAGATGGGTATACGATTCTAGCATATAATTCTAAAGGGTCATGCAGCAGTCGAGACAGCTAGGTGTATCTGCATAATAGATCATTAAAGGTAACAGGACAGGTAAAGAGAACTCTTACTAAACCCCAATTGAGGGGGTATCCATCTGAGATTTACCTCTTTGGCCCACCAGTGATGGACATCAGAGCTGTGTGAGTCTCAGCGACAGTCAGGCAGAGAACAGTACAGCACAGGAACGGACCCTTCAGCCTAGGATGTTGTGCCGAACATGACACCAAATTCAACTAATCCCTTCTGCCTGCTCTTGGTCCACATCCCTCCATTCCTTACATAAGAGGACTCGGGAGGAGGAAGAATAGGTTATTGGCTGTAGTCATGGAGGGAATACCATCGTCCCTGAACATAATTCTGAGACTCCCAGCCTGAAGGCTTGCTGTCTATGGATACGCAGCAAGAACAGGGTCAGGGTTAATATTGCACCACAGCTTTGCTTGTGATACACTGAGAGACAGGTGAACATCTTGAAATGAGGCATTGTCCCCTTACAAATTTTTAACTAATAGGAAGAGACAATCAAGCTGCGGAGAATGTTGTACGACGCACGGAGCACGTGTGGCCGGAGCAGGGGAGACACCCACCTGGAATTCATTGTTTTCAGTCTCGTCCAGAAATGCTCTGAGACTACTGATCTCATTCTGCAGCTTGTCCGCTTCTTCACTGTTCCGTTCCAGTGTCGCGATGATCTTATCCAACTCATCCTGCAGCACAAGGAGAGGCAAAGTCATTTAGCTGACACTGAGTCGGGGTTGGGGCAGGAATGTCTTAAGCTTTAGTGCGTCCCTCAGCACGTAGTCCTGGACCCAGTGCCAGTCTGCAAAACTCAGCCGAGGTCAGTTCCTTGCTCTGGAAGAACAACAAGTTTCGGGCAGACCAAAGAGTGTCTTTCACAGAGTTGATGCTCCTTCAGGCACAGTCAATGTTTGTCTCGGTGTGCGTCCTGTAGAACAGACAGTAGAGCACAGAGCCCAGCTTCGCAGAGTCAGGGGACACAGTCTCAGTATGTACGGTACATCATTTAGAACTGGGATGTGGAAAGATTTCTTTAAGCATACGGTGGTCATCCTGTGGAATTCTCTACCACAGAAAGTGGTGAAGGCCGGGTCACTGAGTATATTCAAGAGAGAGACAGATACATTTTTAGGTATTAAAAGGTGTCAAGGGCATGGAGGGAATGTGTGAATACAGCTTGGAAATAGAGGATCAGTTATGGTCATATTGAAAGGCAGAACAGGCAGGAAGGGGGCCGAATGGCCTACTCCTGCTCCTAGTTTTGATGCTTCAAAAGGGGAACTGGGTTTATACAAGCTGGCAGGAAAGTTTTCAGGGGTCTGAGGTACTGGGTGAGTTCTCTGAAGAGCCAACACAAACAGGAGGGGCCGAATGGCCTCCCTTGCCTACTGTAAGATTCTACATGTAGTACGATGGAAATCAGGACCCTCTGCCCTTTATTGTAACGTTATTGGCTGTGCAAGTTGTGTTGGAGTGAAATACCTGCAAGATTTGCAGGGAAGCTTCATCCTCTCTCAGGTGTTCTTTCTTGGATACATAAGACCTCTGGACATTTTTTAAATCTCTCAGCTTGCTCACAGGTACTTTAATGGAAGAACATCGATCCAGAAACCTGGAAAGAACAAAGGCAGGAATATTACTGGGTTAGCTTGAAAATGCCTCGAAACCTTAATGTTTGGAGAGTGCCAGTCTGGGCTCAAAGCCCTGACACTGACCAAGATCAACTTTTGTCTCCAGGCGATTTTGAACAGTCCCTCCTTTAAAGCTGTCCTCAGGAGGTTCCCATCCTTACACTGACAACAGGCAACGATACGGAGTCTTCTTCCTGAATACAGCAATTACATCTCCAACTGAAGTGTTTTGTTAAGTCAGTACAGAGAGCATTGCAAGTCAGCCCTCTGTTACAAGCCCTCTGACGTTAGACCACATCTGTATTCAGTTCTGGGAGCTACACCTTAAGACACAGAATGATCTTCAGCACAGATTGATCAGAATGATATTGACAGGCGAGATGTGGGCAGGTTATTTCTCCTAAAGGGAAGGTCTAAGACCAGGCAACACAGCCTCACAATCAGCAGTCACCCATTTAAATAGAAATGAGGAGAAATTTCTTCTCTTAACGGGTTTTCAAGACAGGGACATTAAGTATATTTGAGGCTGCCACATTTTTAAATCAAGAAGGGAATCAAGAGTTATAGTGAAAAGGCAGGGAGTATAATTGAGGATTATCAGAAGCAGTCTGAACAGCCTGAATGGCCTACTTCGCCTCCCATGTTCACTCTCAACAATGCAGCGCTCCCTCAGCGCTGACCCTCCGACAGTGCGGCGCTCCCTCAGCGCTGACCCTCCGACAGTGGGGTGCTCCCTCCGCGCTGACCCTCCGACAGTGCGGCGCTCCCTCCGCGCTGACCCTCCGACAGTGCGGCGCTCCCTCCGCGCTGGCGCTCCCTCAGCGCTGACCCTCCGACAGTGGGGTGCTCCATCAGCACTGACCCTCCGACAATACAACACTCGGTCAGTACTGGCCTTCCATTAGCGTGGCACTCCTTTAGTACTGGTTCAGGGGTTATTGACTTATTGGCTAACTTTAGTTTAATACTGAGAACAAGCTGTTGGGTATTTCTGAAAGATACCCATCAGTTGCTATCAAATAGCTTTGTATCCTGGTTCTTCCTCAATACCTCTATGTGGGTTTTGAAATTTTAAAATGCTCAAACTCCTGTTGAATGCCCCCTGTGGATTTTGCAATTTGGTCAAATCAGTTTGCAAACCTCACTTGCCTCTACACAGCACAAATAAGATTCATAGCCCCACACAATTACCTGTGTCTTAACTGGCTCAGATGTTCCTGACTGGCCTCCATCTTGGAACCCTTCTGTGGCAAAGCATTGCTGTAGGGAATCAAAACACATGTTTTAAAATTGGCTCCTAAATCAAACTGAAAGAACCTGTGGATGCTGTAAATCAGAAACAAAAATAGAAATTGCTTGAAAAACCTCAGCAGGTCTGGCACCATCTGTGGAGAGAAATCAGGTAACGTTTCGGATCGAGTGACACTCAGAACCCAGCACCCGAAACGTTAACTCTGATTTCTGTCCACAGGTGCTGCCAGACCTGCTGAACTTTTCCAGCAATCTCTATTTTTGTTTTAAAATTGGCTGCTGTTTGGCACAAACTGAGCAAAATAGAGACATGGGAGATACAATAGTTGGAACAGGGATATGATCAGGGATATGATCAGGGAGATGAGCAGGGTGATACACAAACAACACAAGAAGTCCCTAAGCACCACTGAACCCAGCGTAACAGGCTATTCCACATGTGGCAACTTGTTATTCCTGCAAGGCTCAAGGATGGACGGCTGAGAGGTTTGGGGGAGCACACTAGTAGAGTGATTATCCCTTTACCTTCACTTCAGAACTACGGCTGTTTCAGTAGCAGAGGCCTCAGCCAAAAGTTAGTGAGAGAAAGGACACTGAATGCACTCTCTGAATAAAATGTAAACAAAACGCCAACACGAGGAGTTTCACCTTGCGTAGGTGGGGCACCAAAGAAGTCTGATCATCGGACCACATTTTTCAACTGTCAAACACCAGTAAGTAGAAAACAGCTAGTGCATTAACATTGAAAAACACTTGGCAGGATGGTATTATTGCAGAGATTTTTTACTCAAAAGATGAGGAGTGTTGCAAAGGATACAGTAAAGAAACAGGCCTACTGGTCTGATTATAGTCTAGAGTTTATGCCCAATATGAGCCTCCTCCAACCTCTCTCTATCTCACCCAATTAACGTCTCCCTCTCTTCATCATCTGTTTATCCAGTTTCCCTTTAGAAATCATGTTAGCCACTCCCTGTGGGAGCAAGTTCCACATCCTTACTATTGTCTGGATAGTTCCTGAATTCCTAAATGGATGAATTTGTGACTCTCTTGTATTTATGGTCTGTAGTGGGAACATCTTTTCTACATCTACTCTATCAAAACCTTTCTTTATTTCAAAGACATTAATTAGATGATCCCTCAGTCTTCCCTTTTCAGAGAAGAGAGTTCTGTCCTGTTCTGTATTCCTGTTTGGTGTAATCTTTTAATTCTGGCATCACAGTTGTACTGCTTTGTATATCTGTAAAGCACATTCCCAGTATTTCTTTGGCCTTTTCAACTATATGGAGATCTGCTAACTACAAATCCAAATAACCTTGCTGCTTTTCAATTCTGTTCTGCTGGAAATAAATCTGAAAATGTTATTTGCTGTTTATACAGCCGTTTCTCTTTCTTTCCTTTATCCTTGTTATGGGATGTAGGTGTCACTGAGCATTTGTTGCCCATCTCTGAGTGGCTTGCTTGGAGATTTCAGAGAACAGTCAACTACATTGGTCTGGAGTTACATCAGGCCAGCCTGGATAAGGATGGCAGATTTCCTTCCCTAAAGAGCATTAGTGAGCCAGATGGATTTTTACAACTATCGATGAAAGTTTCAGGGTCACCATGACCAAGGCTACTTTCAACTCTAGCTTTATTCATTGCATTTAAAGTCCACCAGTTGCTGTGGAGATTTAAACCTCTGTCCCCAAAGCATTAGCCTGGGGCCTCTGTGTTATTAGCCCAGTGACATTCCCACCATACCACTGTCTCTCCTATAGCTTCACTAACTTGAATGGGCTGTGGATCTACTATATATCCCTCGTCCCTTTACACCATTGAGGTACTTGCAGTAACACTTGTACATGAACGCTTGTCATGCTTAGGATGCAGTCAGCAACAAACAACAATGTCAGAAACAGAGATAGTAGGAACTGCAGATGCTGGAGAATCTGAGATAACAAGGTGTAGAGCCGGATGAACAAAGCAGGCCAAGCAGCATCAGAGGAGCAGGAA